TTTTTATGGTTCTAAAGCTCATATCAAGAGCTCTAATAAACAAGCATATTTGTATTGATGGAAAGGAAGTGAAGGAGTATAAAAAACATGAAGCTATATATCGATTATTGAAGTAACTAGATATGAACAAAGGCTAAAATCATATACTTTGCTCCAAGTTTGAACTCACAAAGAAGAAGAAATAATATCGACATTTTGAATAATATTCACTTCATAATTTTACATGAAACTTGGCTCTATATTTAGCCAAACTTGTACACTTAGTATACCAAGTATTCTATGAACTCTTACACATACCATACTTGACAATACACTAACTTGTAAAATACTCTAGTTAGACAAATATGTAACTGAATATTCAACCAAAATACAATTAAAAACGTGACAACATCTTCTTGAAGAATATTGATATAATTCCTATGATTATTTTGTAGGTTTTGAATAGTTTGTTTGTTGACCACCGTATTGGGACTGGCTTTAGCTATACCACTAACAGATATAACATTCGCCCCAATGAAAAGGATTTTAGCAATGATTTATATGACTTTCTACATGTCAGTTTCATTGCATTCTTTTTGTTTCCATCTGTTTCGCTGGTTTGTGATGAGATTTAAATTAGATTACAACAATTGCTTAATGAAATACAAAAAAATTAAACTAGCAAAGAGATGAATGTTGGGTAGATTAATGGAAAACTGAGATTTTATGACTTCCATATTGAATACTAACTTTGATAAATTTGACCTCATTTTTACGATCTCATCATTATAATTCTGACTATATAACATAATTCTAGATTTTTTTAAGTTGAATTTATCTTCTTTATTTACAGAAAAATGCCATTAGTAATACTTGTCCAAGATAATGATAGTTTAGAATCTCATAGTAATACTGTCTATTTTCCGAATTCATGTTTCATCGACCCTTTAATTGAAAAATTGGTTCTCCAGTTATAACTTTCAGTCATGCACACCAAAAGCATACATACCAAGTAACTACGCTATCAAAAGTTTAAAGTTAAAATCTCACCAACCTTCTTGACACCCATGGGGATAGGAAGACTCGTGATAAGAGGGTCATCAGCATTCAAAACACAAATGTCCCCTTGCATTGCATCTCTCAAAATCTCCCCCTTTGCCATCAAAACCTCCTCCAAACTCGCGAAATTCTCCAAATGTGAAGCACCCGCATTCAGAATCACCCTTACATTCTTGCTCCTTCCCAACTCCAACACCCCAAACCCGACATTCCTCGGTATCCCAATGAAAGTCAATGAAACCCCAACTTCATTATTCCAATTCCCATGGCTCTGATAAACAGTTCTTATACTTTCTAAAGCCAATGCAATCATAGTTCTTGTGGTGGTCTTGTTCACACTCCCGGTAACCCAATCAAGCAATCATTTATCCTGTTCCTTGCACAATAGCCCAGTTTTTTTAAAGAATTCAAAGTACTTCCATCGACTTGAACAAAACCCATGTCCCAGTCTTTGCAGACATGGTTGCTAATGACTTCAATGCAACCTTTGGAGGACAGCTCAGGGGTTATGAAACTGTGGGCATCATAGTTTTGGCCAACGAGGGGAAGGAACCATTGGCCCGGTTGAAGTGTTAAAAAATAAATTTTTAAATAAGAATCTTCAACTATCATGAAAATCACATAATCATCTTTTATGCATAAATAAACATTTCATAAAACATACCGGAATCAGCCATAATGAAATCTCCTTGAAGAAAGCTTGTAGAAATTATTTCTCTCACTTAACCCATTTTCTTTGCTTCACCAGAACATATGGGAAATCTGATAAAAACGAAAAGTGTGGGTAGAGAGAGGACAATTCCTACATAATAAATAATAATATGAAGCAGTTATCCTACTCCCCAAAAAAGTAGGCACATAGGAAAATAACTTCCCCTATTATTTCTCACAGTAACCGTGCATCAGCTTTCCAAAGCCAATAACTACCTCATCACATTAAGTCCAAATAATGTCCATATTGCCCTTTCACATGGGACATATTTTAACAATTGTACCTACCATTGTCATAACTTTTATATATTACGCATGTGATACTATTTGGAGAATGATAGCGTGAATACAATTTTGACGGCTCTGTTTATAGCATCAGATATTGGTGTATACATAAACGGTATATAAACACTTTCCCCTTTAGCTTGCATTTGCTCAGTTTTGAGGGCCTAAGGAATTGGAAATATAAAAGAGTCACGAGAGGAGTTCCATTTATAATATGGAAGATAAGGACCTAGAGAAATCCATAATTCAGATAGAAAGGGGAAGGAAGCTAAGAGCTGATGGTAAACTAGATCAATCTATTTTGTGCATGTTCAAAGTAATTTCTACATTGGTGAGTCACATATACAATCATTTTGCTTTGGTTTCTTGTATCTATACTTCACATTTAATGGTGGATGTTATTTTGACATTTGTATTAACATAAAATATTTTAATAAACAGAAAGCTATCAAAGGAAAAAGTAATAGCTGCAGTTCACAAGTTAATCTCCTACTAGCTAAAGCTTGTATCTTACATTTTCTATATTCCCATGATGCAAAACCTCAGTCAAATTTTATTTTGGACGAAAGGTTTGTCTTCACATTGAGTAAATACTTCTTGTATCTTGCTGATAATTGAATATGTATTTGTCACTTGTTTGATGCTTTCTAATCCTTTTTTGGAAACAGAGAATTGTATGAAAGTATGTTGAATGCAATTGAAGACTTGTCGCATTATTGCCATGCAGATGATAAGTCCAATGAGATGTGGGATGATGTACTACATTTGTTATGTCTTATTTTTGATATTTTGTCAGCTAAGGTAATTTTGAATATTTATGTTTTTGATATTAGTAATTGGATTGAAGATCCTTTACTTACTTTTGCTATATTTCAGGGCTATTTGGAAACCAGATTGTGTGAGGTGGCAATTACATAAATATAAAAACAAAAAAGGACGAAAGGGAGAGGAATAAAATCAGGATTTTGATTGAAAAATTTGTGGTTACTGTAGATAAAACATCAATGCACAGCATGAATATAACAATTGTGCCTAGAGACCATATCTAAAGTGATTTTTTTTTTCTACTTTGTTATTCTTCATTGTGCTGATAGACACACAATGTTTTGACACTAACCAAATACACCATCTCCACATTGGTTTAAAAAAATGTTTTCATGGTGCGCAGAGATACAATCTTTCTAGACACAAATATCGTGTACAGGTAATGTGTAGAGACAACCCTGTTATGGACACAACATGTGTAATTACACAATATGAACATGACTCTCATCTCAACGAACTATCCAATTTTTTTCCTGAGCATCATCTTGTTATTTGGCTTTGAAAAATCATAAAATAGATTGAAAGAGTTAATTTACAAAATACGAAATTCTACTCATTTATTCCACACATTCTTTTAGTTTCACCGTAAATTGTAAAAAAATTAATT